TGCTGCTGCTGCTGCTGCTGCTGCTGTTATTGTTGTTGTTTTTGTTGTTGTTGTTGTTGTTGTTATTATTATGGTTCGATGACCGCCACAGCATTTGTCAAGTGAAGTCACTGGATTCGGGTACTGATTCATCTGTTCGCGAACGAGCTCACAATCACGTGTCCATTTTCATCAATTCCAAATTATGTCCGGAGCAAGAGAATGGGTTGTGTTTACAACTGAACTTCTTTCCCCTCCCCGTCTTAAGAAAGTCCTGAGTGTTTAGTTGGACAGCAATAACAATAGCAACATTCTACAAAAGGACTGAAGACGCCAGGCAAAAGAACCTACATATTCTGTTCAATTGCGAAAGGAGGCCCATTAATTATTTCGAAACAAGGCGACTGGAACGGAGAATCAACACCTACATCTATTTTCCCACCTGTGCGGCATTAGCGGAAAGGGTGACTCCAGCACATAGATCCGAAGCGCTGCTGTTCGTCGAGCACGAGAGCTTGGCGCACAGTACAATATCTACACTGACGGCTCGGCTAGTGCCGGAAGAACTGATGACGGCGCTGGGGTTGTCATTACAACGTGGGACCCGTCCAACCCGACCGTTGTCGAGATACTGAGGGAGAAAGGCGCTCTACTTAGGTGCTCTTTCGAGCAAGAGAGGAGAACCTTGGAAATGGCCATTGACTGGATCGACCAACAGTATGATGCATGCAACTCGGTCGCTATCTTTACTGACAATCCCTATGTCTGGCACTAGTGGGAACATCACCATTCCTCGAGCAAATGCGACTACGCATAAATAGTACATCATCTTAACACACAATCCTATGGATCCCAATCCCAGGTCACTGCGAGATCCTCTGCGATGACCTCGCTGACAATACTGCCAAACTGGCTGCAGCACTACCTGGCCAAAGCTATCAAAACACATATTATAGAAGCGTGTGCGGTCAGATAAGACTGATTGCTAAAGACCCTTCTATATTCCACACACTGATGAAGGAAGTACACGGGGCACTGTCCACAAAACGGGAATCGCAATTAAGTCCACTACAGGCAGAAATCAGGACTGGTCACTTCTCTGGGCTACGGGCCTACAAAAATAGAAAAGACAACACATCGAACCCAATCTGTCCATCGTTCAGCGAGCAGCCCCAAGATTTGTAGACCTGGCTGCACGGAGGTCTGGCGTGGGCATCTTTTTGGGGAGGATTCAGGGAGGCTGGGCTGCTTCATCCACAACCGAAGAGAGGGGGTGGCCCTGCCAAAAAGCACACTCTTTGGGGCTCCAAACAATTCAAAAGGATAGGCTCCCCAACAGACACATACACAACAACAACAACGACGATAACAACAACAGCAAACAACAACAACAGCAACAACAATAACAGAGACAACAACACCACCACCCACAACAAAGACAACAGCAACAACGAAAACAACTACAACAACAACAACAGCAACAACAACAACAACAGAAGCAGCAACAGCAAACGTGCCGGGTCCATCCTGGATTTTAAAAATGTTCTGCCCCTTCTATTCTTTTCGAAGTCTATCAGGGGGCTCACGTGGCCTAGAGGTTAAGATGTTCGCCTTTCATTCAATAGGTCCCGAGTTCGAATCCGGGTAGCGACGGAAATTGTTCTTCTAAAAAATTGTCTCCTTCAACCTCCTTTACTGCTCTCTAGCAATGTTCTGTCGTCAGCTTTCGCCTCTACTTTCTGCTCCCACCCCCTCACCTCCTTTGCCTACTCCTTTCTGTTGCCTTTCTACTGCTACTCCTGGGCTCCTTAATAGGAAAGACCTACACAAAGCCTCCTCGGACAAGGGTGAAAAATCGTCGAAGTCCCGTGTGCACGTTGCACACGTTAAAGATTCCTTGGTGATCCAAAATTGATAAGAGTAGTGTTCGGCCGCCACCGGGCAAAATTCAAAAATTCTTACCAACTGAAAAAGATTAAAGTGTCCTGCGCGCTCAAATGCCCTCATGCAGTTGCGAGCATCGTAACACACTTACCAAAAACAATAAATTAATATTTTTTAAAAACATTTACAACGCGTATCTCCATAGCGATATCCTCGGTGTGAGTAAAACTCTTCCTTGTTTGCGCCCACTCAAACCACTCGCCTGACATCTACTGTTTAATGTGAGTAACATAATATACATGTAATTATTACATTTGTCTGCTTCTTTACTCACACAGTGAACTGTTGAGCTGTGAGTTCATGATTTTATCTACGCTCAGTTTTGGAGTAAGCGCGTGGAGGTAAGACTGCACACCCTTGTCGTATTTGCCAAAATTATGTTTTATGTTTACAGTGCATGTTAAATGTAAGTATCTTTGTATCTATCAGGGGCGAAGCGTCTATATAATCAAATAATCACTGCTTTCCTTCCTAATTTTGAAACATTGTCGCTGTCAAATTCATCCTTAAACGTAAACCTCTTAAATTAAAAGTAAAAAGATGTTCGTAATCCACAATGAG